AAGTAAACAAGAAAGCCCGGTCTTCCATGTACCTATCTGTTACCTATTAGAATTCGGAGCGGCAACAACAACACATCATTAAAACTGTACACTGCTTCATCGGGGGAAGGAGTGGTACGGCCGGCTCGTTCGGCTCTTGTTGGTGGTCGTCGTCGTCGCGGTGAAGGAGGAAGAGGGATATATCACAGATACTCTGCAACACGTCATCATAATTTCAGATTATGTCGTTCGGGATACACCTACTCCGCGGCGGTGGTGGCGGCGCTGCTCGCTCTTCGGCATCGATGAGCGGGAGAGTTTGACGACCGTTCTTATGGAAACGAGAAATTTGAGGATCGTCGAAGAAAACCGACGGCTAGAAGATCGGCGCAGATTCTTCTGCGCTGAGGTCAGTCCGCAAGACACCGAGCTGCGCCGATATTCGAAGATCCCGTATGCACGGGTCGCCGAGACTCGACTGATATTGAAGCGATTCGTTAGTTAGCCGAGACCGTCATCGAAACATGATGGCGATAATCGAATTATGGCTGAATCGGTGTTCGTTATCAGCACGAGAGGTGCGACCGTCGGCACCCTCAGCCGGGTGAAGCATTTCGGACTGACTGAGAGCGACATACAATTCAGCGAGCGCGCGAGGCACCGAATGCACAGTCTTAACTAAGACAGAGTATTGTTGATGCAACAAATTACTTCCTATTCAATGGCTTCCCAGGTATCCCTTAGTCCCTCGATGTCCCCCGGCCTCAACGCTTCGTGAGCTTGCTGGCTCGGGGGAGCTTGCTCCGAGCGTGGGAACGACTTCAGTCTGCACAAGCTAACCTGTTTCGCTGGGGGTGACGCGGCTAGGATCGATTTGCTCTTCGCTGATGCGCTTGCCGGATTTTTTCGGCCTTCAGACTCACCCCGCCGGTGCCAGTACGCGCCGCCCCCAGAAGACCCTCGGGGAGTCTCTGGCTCGCGATCTTGTTCCGTCGAATTCCGCCGCGGAATTCGAGACTCGGGTCAGCCTGGCGTGCGCGGGATACGGGACTCTCCACAGTCATTCTAGACTCAAGTCCGAGTCCGATTCCGGTCCAACTTCCGGAAGCTCGGATACCGCTTCGAAATTTCATTGCGGATGGGACTCAATTCCTCGACACCTATCGTCGAACTGCCGACCGATCGATCCATGAGTCGGGTCGCGGACCGTCGAGCGATTTGCGCCACCCTACACGAATGTGCGCGCAGCTGTGTGTCCCTTGAATGGCGGAGTGATTCGAGCTCAAATTGAGTTGAAGTAGATTCAGAACTGAGACCAGAATGACAAGCAAGCCAGCCAGCGACCGAGCGACCAGACAGTCGACCCAAGCCACAACCTGCGTGCCCGAGGGATTTCATTCGCATGGGAAGAAAGCAACACAGGTTCAACCGATCGTTGTTCTCGTCGTGCTCAGCTTCATCTCATAACTGACTGAGATCGCTTCGGTGGGGATAAGAAAAAATCTCAATATCGTCCTAGCGGCCGCGTTTCAGCTACAAGTCCGCCGTCCATTCTATGAATGACCGAGTCAACGTTTATGAATCAATCGGAGCACGGTCGGGCATTCCTGAGCAAGCTACCGCAGACAAGATGGTGACGAAGACGAGTCTTCCCTACCCCTGAGAACGACGTCTAATTGAAGGCCTCCGATTCAGATTCCGTCTTCTCGAAGATTGTGTGGCCAAAAAGTTGTAACCGGGAGTTCTTTCGCATTGGGGGGTAGCAGAAAGCGTCGTCTTTCTCGTCCATGTTTTTCCTCCATCGCGGTGGATGCTAGAGGGGCCGCCAAGAAGAAAATTCTCAAAAAACAACACTTACATCGGGACTCGCTGGTACGGTCAAGCCACCGTCTGAGCTCGATCGGATCAAGACCCACAATGCGGGTTCTCTACAGGAACCGTTGGAGGTTCTATAGCCGGTCCGTTTGGTCGAATCCCGATCTGGAGCCGACCTTCCATGATAAATGCCGAATGGGACAATTCGTAAATGACTCAATTGGTCGTATTCAATTTTCTTAATTTCGCATTCCTCGGCAATGAACGCCATGAACCATAGGATTGTCACCACTGAGGGAAGTCGCAATATCGCTGTTCTGCCGCCGGAACGGCTCGTTCGCTAAAACTTAAGAACAATCATTTACAATATTACGGTTCGACAATTATAGATTTCAATCCCCCGAAGCGACTCTGTTGTCCGAGACAGCGACAGAAGAAAATCTATGGAGAGAAGGCTCGGCGCGCCAAGTCTTTCTACCGACTTGGTGCCGCTAGAATCCTCGCGGGCAGATCAGTTGTACTTCAGACCGTATCCTACGGTCGAAGGTCTTTTCTTCGTCGTATTTTCCTTTCTTCCGATCGATATCTATTCTGAAGAGGCAGGTTTGCCGGTACGCATATCGCTCGTAGAAATGGGGACGTTCTGGAACATTTCGAGGAGCTCCTCCGAGTTCCCTCATGATCGCCGGGCGGATCATTCGGACGACAGCGATCATTATTTATCGAGCTCGAGGGTGATTCTAATCCGTCGTCGAAAAGTCATCGAATGGGTAGAATGTCGTCGAGTTTTCAGCCATCGTGTGGTATCGTGTGTGTTCGGATAATATCCAATCCATTCTACTGTCGATATTGGCGCGGCTTAGCAACATAAATACTGATCGTGGCCGTTATTGTTGCTGGCGTTGTAAAGACGTGCAGCAGCAGCTTCATCGTGATCTACGGATTGTTGGCTGCCGCTGCAGCGGCGGCGACAACAGCGTTTGTCGAGACTACTGAAGACCTCACAAGGCGGGCGGGGGGAAGGGGAGCAGACGGTCACAAGAGATACGATCTCTGACCAAGCAAGGCTCGTTTGCTTTTGTGCCTTTCTGTTTGCCAGTCCGATTGCCTCTCGGGATGCCGCTGGCTGTCGTTTCGTCGAAGAATCGTTGTACACTTTGAGGTCGTTCCGCCTATTTTGACGCCTGCATGCCGACTCAAGAGTAGGTACTTGTCGAACGGTAGGCGGGCAAGCGAGGACAATCGTTGTCTAAATCGAGTGCATTGCTCTTTGCATCCACCAGTCACTCAGCCAGTCAGTGGCTCGGAATATTCCGCCATGACCGTGGAGTCCGTCGCGGAGTTTTCTCGCATTCGGAACCGACATGCTGAGAGGAATCCCCTCCTCTAATTCAAGCTCCAACGATCCCGACGCGACGCCCGCCAAGCCGTCGTTCCCGCTGCGAGCCAGAGTAGGTACCCACCACTGTTAGATATTTGTGGAGTGGATTTTCGACTCTACATGGTTCGGGTGCCGCCCGGAGAGGCTCGAAGTCGAAAGCCAAAGTGGGAAAGATACAGAAGGAAAAGAAGGAAACGATTATCTGCTCTGAATAATCTCCATCGTCCGGACGGCATCAATCAAAGTCGGATTCATGGGTTGATGCCTCGGCCGTGTTGCGCCCCGAGTGAGGATTGTCGCTCGAAACAAGCTGCCCGAGAAGTTGACAAAGCGGATTTCTACGGAAGCCAGATCATTCGAGGTAAGAGTCGACTCGGGGCGAAGTCTCGCATCCACTCGAGAACCGAGAATATAAGTCGTCGCAGACCCGAGTCCCGGGTATTGAGAGCAGAGTCTTCTTCGCAAAATCTTCTGCGCTTTTAATTGAAGTAGGTTTAGGTCCGGCTTACCAAGACGCAACATGCTGGGAGCTATCTGATCTATCTCAGAAGGTGGTCGCATCGACAGCAATCGGATTGCATCGACAAGACAAACAAGAAGGCCCCCTCGATTTGTTGTGGTTTGCACCATCGATCAAGTATTCAATAGGTCTAATTTTCATTCTGATACATCGCGTTCTGGGTCAGTCACGTCAGCTCCCGGTAGCTGGTCTGCGGCTTCATCGTCTTCTTGTACCTCTCAGAACCCCTGTGACCGCTGGCAACATCGTCGCTTTGCTGCCTTCGCATCATCTTTTTGATTGTTCTGCTTTCTACAGATTTCATCGCAAACAATAAAGACGACCGAGACCGCAACGAAACGAGAATACCATGGCAGATCGATCGCACGGACGAGTAGGTCGCTATCGACGCTCCGTACGGGACGAACGAGCTGCCTTCGGAAGTTGATCCAAATGTCCAGCGAGACATGATTTTATGGCGAGATATCAAACAAGGGACACACTATAATCCGTGGATCTGTCGTTCGCCAGTCCAACCAGTAGCCAGCTTTCTCCGGAGCCAAGGTCTACTGGTTAATTTCATTTGTTTTTCGGTTGAGTATAATACTGGATTTGCCTTGTGAAATCACGGACGACCGATCGACCGGAACACGTATTAGGCGAAGAGCTCGAGAAAAAGATTGTCGACTCCGAAGCGGTAAATTACGTGATAATTTGCCAACGATCTTCGGAACGCGATCCCGATCGACATGGTGCGGATTCATGCCAACTTATGAAAGCGGACGCCCTAAGGAGGGGGACGTTCCCATAGGTGTGACGCTCCATATTTTTCCAACCTGTTGTCCCTCGACGGCCTTGGACTTTGGTAGCAAAAGATAAAGCAAATTGAAAAAGCCCAGATGGTCGGACCGTTGTGGGCTGCTTGCTGCACCAACATAACAGCAGAGCAACCCACACCCAGCGAGCTTCCATACTCACGCATGGCTCGCTCTCACACAGTCAGAGGTCCTGTACGCACACTCCGGCACAGGTAACTCAATGGTTTTATGACTCGGAGTGAGCGGGTGAACGAGCGAGCTTTCTGGTGTCTCATCCCAACTTCTAATCGCCATAACTCTCCCTCTAACTCCATCGGTTTCTTTTCTCTAAATCGTTCTCAAGCGTAGGTACTCGGTGTACGGTTCGGCAATAGGTCTGACTCCATCCGGACAAACAAATAAAATTAAAGCTTCGGGCTTCTCGCCGCCCCAAATTCCCCAACGGTTGTCAGGGCAATAGACCAGTGCGAAAGGGGAGAAATTAGTGCGAGAAACTCTAAGTACTTACGAGCATTTCGATTGTCCTTTGGGAGCGAATTCGCATTCGCCGCTATTTTGGCATGGGTTCGGGTTGCACGACTGGAAACCTGCAATCAAGAACACATTCGATTAGGATACTCATGATCGATGAAACTCCATCAAGATAATATTCCCACCGGCACATGAGAGCTGACGTCACCGTTTTCGAGCTCGTATTTCGAATGACAATTCGATTACAAAATCACAACGCCTCTCCGGGGTCCACCTGATCTAAAATCGGCACTTTATCGCGGACAGACTGCTTTCTTGTCTAGCGGAGCTGTCGAATTCAAAAAAACAGCGCGCATGGCGGAGACACCAACAACGTTGGCTGAGTATCAGAAAACAGGGCGCGGTGAACATATTTCATGGATTTCACTATGGAGTCCAACTGTCAACGCGTCCCCTGATCGCTATCTTCGGAAGGAACTGTGTTTGTAATGTTGTCTCTGTATTCCCGTGTTTCGCTTACGCCGTCGTTCGACTTATTCGAATTTATAATTGAATCTGTTGCGTCTTCAGCACTCTGCGTGGGAACCAATATGTAGCGGCGTGTCAGCGACCGCGACAACGGAGAAGAAGATCGCCGGATCAAAGCTGGCAAACAGAATTTCGATAGCTTCGAGCTCTTCGACAAAATGCCCGATTAGCGCATTTTTCGGCGGAGCTGTCGAAAAGGGATCGGATGGTGTTCTGTCGACACGAACGGGAAGAAAGCGATGGCATCGCAGCATCTCAACGCAACGAAGCTGGATTGGGGAGCTCCGACTGAGAGGACTCTATCAAAGCCGGCGACACTTGATAGAGTCTCAAGGAGGATTCGAGGGGGAGAAATTCGACAATAGGAGACCATGTCGAGTTCGGCGTTCTCATCCGCCCCCCATTCTTATCGCTGATCTGGACGTGCCTAATCGTAGACTCTCGCCCTTCGCATGGATCTACGGAACTTGCTTCTCATATCCGGCTTCGTTCGAATGTATTACGATCCTATTCAGGCCGACAGCTACGGTACCGCGATACCGGGATACGAGTCAACATAAAGTTGGGGTGAAAGAATTCTAAAGTTGCGTAAGTCGTAAATTTATCTGAGGTGTTAATGCATTTGGTTGAAAAAAAACCCGCTTCCCTCTTCAGCGTAGAAAATCTCCCTTCTCGAAAAGCGTGTGTGCCGACCCGAAGCTATGCCAGCGCGATGTTTTTTCCTTTCCCTTCCGTTTTCGCGGTAACGTGTGCGAAACCTAGGGCGCCTCCAAGAACCGGCACCCAATGCCCGCGGTGTCTCTGCGCTGGCTGCTGCAGTTGTTGGCATCGTCGTCAGCACCGTCGCCGTCGTCGTCGTGGGCCGACGTCAAGAGGCCGCAATATTATCAGACGTATCAGCGTGCTGAGCGCCGAGACCCAAAAAGTTCAATCCTTCCCTCGGAATCGATCGACGAGAAACCAATGGTATTTTTTGAAATTTCATTCGATCGGGATGCTCACGGAGGCATCACTTGTCCAGAAAGGAATATAGATGCGAAGCTCAGTTTTGATTAGATAAGAGCAAACCGTCTGCGAGATGAGGACAAGAGAAATGCATTTTTTCCGCGATCACGGTTCAAACTCAGATTCCTGCGTCTTATCATTTCATTGACTGTTTCAAAAAGATTGAGATGCTCCTGAGGTTTCCATTGAACCTCAAATTGATCATTGGACAGCAGCGGACCAGTAGACGCAAGAAGGGAAATTGCTTCCCAGGAGATCATTTCAGATTAGGCGAAATTTCACGGGCTTCCGTGGGAGAGCGCGCGAACGAATTCCGCGATTCGACCAACAAAGGACCTCTATGACAAAGCTCGTTGCCGAGCGGCCGAGAAGAAGAGCAAGCGAACGATGTTCTAAATGGCGGACGACAAGGCGAAGAAAGCCGTTTTGAAACCTTTATAAATTACCGTTTGCACCTTCTTTGACTTCTTCTTCCCCTACTTGGTCTTCTTATGAACAATCATCAACGTGGCGGAATCTGGGAACCGGCTGAATTCGCAGCACCGTTGTCGCTCGTTGCGGCAGGACCGCTACTCCAGCACCGACATTTAGTCACTCAACAAGCCAACAACGTTTTAATGACGAAGCCATAATGTGTTGCGTGAGACGCATGTATGAAGTGTCTTCATCGTCTGCGCCGTCCACCGTTTCTCTCCTATCGATGGCCTTCCATAGGAAAAGCAATCGTTCGGTCTGGTTTATCGACCTCGCCGAACTCGACGATACTGATCAATGTCAGAACCCTGGGACAGTTGGTGTAATTTGGCTAGAGCCACACGGAACGAGACAGCGGAGAAGAAACGCGAGAGCGAGCGATCAAGTCACCACTCGCACGTCAGAAGCTTCCCGAAACGTATGCACGTTCCGTGTCGTAGGAGCAGCGACACGGCAGCTGCACTTCGGAGGCGCTCTCGCTCGACGCGGAACCAGAAGCCCTAATCAGCCAACTATAACAGAATCGACCGGCGGCGACGACGAGGATGTCGGCGGACTCCCTCTCCCCCTCTCGTCGGACCGCTCTCGTTAACCGGTCGTCATCGTCCAAGAGACATCGAAGAGTTCGAAAACTTCTGGTCACTCATCTTAAATGAATGTGGTGGCTTGCTGCGATGCTCGACGCCGTCGCTCAGGGAGCTCGCGTGCCGGATCTTCAGCATCGCTTCAGTTACCACTCGGCCTTCCGAAGAAGAAAGTTACTGAAGGAATCTAACGAAGTTGGCGCACGCCATCATCAGCACTGCCTTCGACGCAAGCTCCAGAGATCGGTAGAACGGCGAAGAAAAAAAGGAATGGGAGACAGCGAACCGAAGGAGGAATCGCCGTCAATGTGGTTTTCTATGAATCGGGTTTCCTGTGATGATTTAAAAACCGAACGGACCGACACGGTCTTTGGAAAAATCGAATGGTGGCTTGGAGTCGCGCACTCGGGACTAGCTTGACGAGAACGACCGTTAGGCATTATCCAGTGATAAACGTCGATGGCCTTCGGGCACTGGCAACGGAAGATCCTCAGGTCGAGCGATGTTCCCAGGCTTGCAAAGACGACGCGTCGGGGGCGTCATTCCGCGGAAGATGGAAACTTTGTAACAACCGATGAGTCTGTTCTTTCGGTCTCATCTTACAGCGGTTATCCGTTGGATCGGCTCTCTTCATTTGAATACACCGTAGTATTCTTGCCTAATCGAGTGCATCTCACGTCATCGGTTCACGCATCGCTACTGTGCTCCCTCGAAAAGCCTCCATGCAAATGAGAAACTCGAGACGGATGCGCAATCGCACGGCGGTGACCGATACGGAATTCCTTCCGCAAGACCGAGGCAAATGCACGATTATTCGGAAAGACGGAATGAAACAGAGACCGGAAAATTAGCTCCGCATTATCGAGTTTCTCACGGTGTGTAGACTCAGTTTTTCCCTTCGATCTCTGACGAATCTTTTAGTCGTTGTGGGAATAACCGAGAACGCTGAGCCGAAAGCGCCACAGAAAACTCAGCACGAGCGAAGAAAGCGAAAGGAAAGACAGACACAAAAGAAAGAGACAGAAGAAAGCGAACCGACGTAACGGATGCTCGCAAAGCGTTCCAACGCCCTGTGCAAAAACTCAATCGAAGAAAAAACTCAATGACATCTGTCCGCGGCAAGTAGCAGTTCCTGCATATCGACCAACATCTCCGTTGACGCAGCGATCAAAAATGGAATCGTGAATGGTTGTGAGTAGCTGGAGGCCAATCAAGGCACTACCAGTTTCGGGACTCCAGGCAACCAGCACCGAGAGCATCTCGAGTCCATACTCCCGGTAGAAGCGAGCTGGCAGGTTGGTTCGAGGTCACGGAGGCTGTGACTAGAGGAAGTTCCCACGCTAGAGCTTTCGACCAGTCGTCTAAGACATAACAGACCCACTGACTGCGAGTGAGTGTGAGAGGCAGAGCGAGAGAGTGCGACTACCAGCTTTGTCGCCTTCTTGCTCGTTTGCTCCTTTGAGCGGAATCCTGGTTGACGACCAGCGAAAGGAATGGAACGGAGAACATCCATTAGACATGCGCCCGTATTCTCTCCAACTTCCATCGCGACCCGGATTTCTCATTCACGCGGCACGCTCGATATAATAATCGATCGTATATTGTATTCCCCCGGAAGATTTATACTGCCCATATGAATCGGGGATCCGTTCCTCGCGTGCGAACGATCTGCCCCACGCTACTGAGGTGTGGGTTCCCTTCTCGTACGGGGAGAGTTCCCCTATTTTTTAAGATTGATGTCATGTTCTCCGACCGGTTTTCTAACAACGGAATCCTCAAGAGTCGCGGCGGAGAACCGGTTCGGAGAGGCATCTGGAGCCCACCTGCCTCGAGGCGCTACTCCCCAAAACACAACAAGCGCAATCTCGACGAACTCGAGGAAGACTGTCGTAGGAAGTAGACCGGTGGCGAGGAGGTCCTGGGGCTCGATTTCCTCCTCTGAGCATCTCTCCCAACTCGATCAGCCACAAACATATCATAGGCGAAAGGATATGCTGACGAAGCAGAAGAAGCTTCCAAGAGAGTTCCAGAGCGTCAACGCCAGCAGCGACATCGTCAGATCCAGCTTTCCTTGAGGCTTCACCACCGTCTGCACCATGGAAAGATATTCAAGCGTTATCAGCACTTTTTCTGAAAAGTCTGATTACGAACAGGTGGCACGCCTATCGCGGTGTCCGCGAACGGGCTCCGGATTATCTCTGAATACTTTCCGGGAAATGTGTCACGAAGTTTTCTCCTATCATCGGAATACGGTCATCAATCCACGGTGGCGGAATGCTAATAGTTTGATATGAGGGCAGAACTCGACAGAATTCACTGAATGAAATACGGATCGATGGGAAACAAAGACGGAACCGCGGTTGGGGACCAACAAGCAATCCGAACAGAGAAGAAAGGCTGAGGGCTGAACAGAAAAGCCATCTGTTTGCGCCAAACCTCCTTCCAACGGTTAAGAGGAATCGATGCCGCTGTACTTTATCAAGGTACAACTGATTTACAGCTCGATCTATTTTCTATTCTTCTTATCCTGCTCTGGTCGAAATC